CCTAAAGGCGTAATTTTATGGCCGTTATAAACACATATTCTGATATTACATTTATAATTCAATGTTACGGTAGGAAAGTATTGCAAAAAAAATTGTTCGGACATAACTGAAATGGCCGATCCCGAGTCCACTTCCATACGGAAGTTTTTGTTGCTAATATTCACCACCACAGTAATAGGAGCCAAAGTCTCATACCTCATATTATGCAAACGGCACTCCATGCAGTCCCCACAGTCTCCATCTGATTCAGTTTCCTCCGTAACGGTATTGATGTTGTTTACGCGAACTTTACACATTTTTTTTAAATGACCTTTAATACCACACTTGACACCGATAGGTCCTATAACGGCACTTTTCTGCACTATGTGTTTTTAAACCACATACACCGCAACGGTTTGTAACCTCTTCTTTACACCCGTTACGAGATACACTCGCTCTGCCACTGCCACTGCTTCCACTGTCATCGGCAGCACCTACATGCATGCCCCCACTGCTTCTCCAACGGTTCCCGCCGCTCCGACGACTAGATTCGCCAGCTGAGTAATATACCTGCTCCTCCTTGATGTTAATACCTGTTTCACTGCTTACTAGAGCCTTGGCCTCTCTCGTATAAGCTGCCTGTTCAGCTATTTCTAAAGCCTTTGCAAAAGATAGACTTGAAATATCTTGCTCGAATAGTCTATCCCGCTCGGGGCCCGTCCCCAAGCCTAGGACGAAACGATCCAACAGAACCGTTTCTAAGGCGGTACCAAAATTGCAATAACTTGCAAGGCCTCGTAGTCGCGCCGCCCATTCTCCTAATGGCTCGCTTGGGTTTCTTGTCGCTCCGTAGAATCTTGCTTTGTCTACGAAAGAACTGTGCTTTGGCTCAAAGTGCTTATCGAGTAATTCGACCAGTTCTCCGTAACTTAGCGATGCTATCTCGCGTGGGTACGCAAGGTTACGTACGAGTCGATAGGTTTCATCCGAGAAGTTTGCTATAAGTATTGCACTTTTATTATCTCCACTGATGTTATTGACTTTGAAAAATTGCGTCAATTTTCCTTTAAAAATCGACCACTCACTATTTTTATAGTCAAAGTTCGGTACATTTCCGATGTAAGCCATTTTTTTTTGCGGGTACTTGTACACACCTCGTCGCCAAATGTGGTGTATGCGATTTAAATGAAACAACCGTATTGCCAGAGAGCTGATTTATTACTAACTCGTTCTTTCGAAGTACCAGTGCGCATATACATCAGGAGGTCAAAGATTTTCGACAAACGACGAGGTCAAAGCAGCTGCTAAGCTGTAGACGCATATTTTGACTCTAAGGAAGAATCATTTTTTTCAACGGTCTAAATGCTTGGAAGGGGAGGTGGCAAAAGTGTATTGAACTTGATGGTGATTATGTAGAAAAATAAAAATATAACTGATTTAGTATTTGTTTATTTTCTTGGTTAGGCCGAGTACTTTTCAATCCACCCTCGTACTACGGTTAAGATAATATCTAGGCTGCAGGACAATTGAAGAATAGGTTTTTATTTTTAACTGACTTTTTACTCCTTTATAGAAGATGAGGTTCCATTTAACTGTATGTTGTTTTGTATGTATTTTACGCGATATCCTCCTCAATGAGGGCATCCATGACTTTCTGTCACCAGGGCGGCGCCACTTAAAAGTGAGGTTATAATATTTGACATATTTCATAGCGGGGAAGTTAATTTTTTGGAAAATGTAAAGGTTAATGTTTCTTTCTGTACTGTTAACAATATTTTATATTAATAAGATTAATAAATAAACCAAATCACAAATATCCATAAAAGCAGAAAAATTAAAAAAAAGTTTAATTGTGCAAAAAATTAAAGAGCAAACCAGGCATGAGGCATTGTTTTGTGTATTAATAACTTCTTGATTAAATGACACAGTGTAACAAAAAACTTTTTTTACATGGTAGAGCCATGTTGCAGCTATATTAGTAGTATAGTTGTAGCACGAATGGGTCGGCTCGACCGGGGAAGGATCACGCTCTCGGAGAATACCAGCGTAAAATAGCAGCATAACGCAGCTGTGTTTCGTATAGTGAGTGTATAGAACTGGAGACCCTTTTTTACTGGAAACGAGGCATTCCATCTTAGTCCTCACGGGTGACAAGGCATCTGCATTTTGATTCGTAATCGAGGATAGATGTAGATGTCTATGGGCCACAGCAACCACTTACCATCAGGTGGACTGTGTGCTCGTTTGTCACCCTATCCTATAAAAAAAAACTCAGTGTCCACTAGCGACATCTGGTGAGCAGAAAATTATTAGCCCTCATTGTGAATCAGTGGTGGTCCCATATAAATATGTAGAGAAAAATTTCACTGCTGAACATAGGCCTCCCAATAAATTGTCTCATATTTTTAATTTTTCAGTTGTTATTAAAAAGACTCTTCTGCCCATCTTCTGGTTTGTTTCCCGCTATCGCCTCTTACCGACACACACAGGATGATATGTGGTAGTGGTGGTTCTCACACCACTACTACACGGTATAAGATTCCTTAGTTCACTCAAACAGACTCACTCAATAACATTTAAAAGTAAAAGCTGACTTCAAAGCACTAAAGTGAAAAAAATAATTTCCCATTCTGAAGTTAGTTCTATTGGGGAGAACATGTGATGCTCTGTACTAGTGATAGTACCTTCCTGTTCATAAATAAATAGTTTACTTCATAAAAATCAATTTGGTTTCACAAGGGGTCACTCGACAACTGATGCCGGTGTTGAGCTGATTAAATATGTCTTTAATGCATGGGAGAATTCACAGGATGGTTTGGGTATATTCTGTGACCTAAATCAGGAAACTTTAACACTACGGTGTAAGAAGCGATGCTCTTAAACTAATTATTTCATATTAAAAATAAGTAACAGAACACAAAAAGTTGTCATTAACAGTATGAGCTCTTTCGGGTCGATGGTACAAATGGGCGCGTTTCTTGTATGTATACATTAATGACTTACCTTACATAGTAGGGGATAACCATGATATATTATTATTTGCAGATGACACTTCTTTAGTTTTCAAATTAAGTCGACAATTATTAAAATATGACGAAGTAAATAATGCTATATCTAAATTAGTAAATTCGTTCAATGTTAATAATTTGCATTTAAATGGCACTACAACAAAATGTATGAAATTCATGACTCCAAATATCAAACAATTAAATAATAATGTAATTAAAAATGGGGAGGAACTGAGGCTTGTCGATACCACAATTTTTCTTAAAATCACACCAGACAAAGCTTCAATGGAATCCCCATTTATCAGACTAGCAAGCGGACTTGTTCTGCAGCATTTGCTGTAAAAAGATTAGAAATCTTACCAGTGTTGAAACAGCTAAACTAGTTTACTTTAGCTATTTCCATAGCATAATGTCGTATGGTATGTTGGTATGGGGACACGCGGCTGACACTGAAATTATATTTGTTTTACAGAAGAGAGCCATATGAGCAATTTATGATTTAAAGCCTAAAGAGTCCCTGCGACAAAAATTTAAGGAAATTAATATAATATAAACTTCATTGCTGTGTTGGAAGACGTTTTCAAGCTACTGGTCTGGAAAGGATACGGTATTAACATCAATGGCGAGTACTTCGCGTAGTCACCTTCGATTTGCTGACGATATAGTCCTTATGTCAGAATCGCTGGAGGACCTAAGCACTATGTTCAATGACCTCAGTAGTGTCTCCCAACGGATAGGTCCAAAGATGAATATTGACAAAACAAAGGTCATGTATAACGTCTATGTCACACCTATGCCGGTAGTTGTTGGGAGCACTAAGCACGAAGTTGTTGACGAGCATGTTTACCTACCTACTTTTACTTGTTGGATTTTCCTAGTCAGGACAAATAGTCCCGACTAGATAAGTCCAACTTCGACCGAGAGGTCAGTCGACGGATTCAACTCGGCTGGTCAGCATTCGGGAAAATTACGACACATCTTCTCGTCAGGTATACGTCAAAACCTGAAAACGAAATTGTACCAACCAGTGCGTGTTGCCAGTGAGGACTTATGGATCTGAGATGTAGTCCTTCACTGCTGGCCATGCGAGGAAGCTCAAGATCGCTCACCGAGCTATGGAGAGGGCTATACTCATGGTTTCTCTGCGTGATAAACTTAGAAATGAGGATATCCGCAGTAGAACCAGATTCACCGACATAGCCCAACGTATTAGTAAGCTGAAGTGGCAATGGGCCGGCCCTATAGCTCGAAGAACCGACAACCGATGGGAAAAAAGGTTCACGAGTGGCAGCCTCAATCAAAAAAACATGATCATGGGCCACCTGCATCCATCGACTTCCTGCATGTCTTACCAGGTCGTCACTCCATCTAGTGGGGGGACGCCCTACACTTCGTCCGCCAATACGAGGCTGCCATCTATAAGTCTGATTTGAAAATAAATCCTTCAGTTACCATCTTCCTACATGGGCCAATTTTTAGCCGTAACGTCAAACCGCGAACACTTATTATGACAATTATCAAGAAAGCCCGCGTATTGTGACGGGCAACTGCGGAACCCTATTTCTACATTGTGCGTGGCACGACACGCACTTGGCCAGTTTATATTTATTATTCTAAGTAGTTAAGGAAGATGCTGCCTATTTCCTGTTAGATTTCTCTCTGTCGCCTCTTACGACACCCGTGCAATGATACGGGCATATGGCGTAGTGGATTCTGTAACGCCGCCACTACGCAGCCAGTCTATGTGAGAAATTTTATGAATAGAACGCAATATTTTTTTATTCAATATAGATTAGATATAATTGGTTCGGAAAAAATCTCTGTCCTGGCAAAAACCAGCAAGAAACCCAGCAGGACTTTAAAAAAAAAGTCAATTATACAATATGACAGGTTATTTAAACTATTAACAAAATTTATTTTAGAAACAGCTTGGAAGCGACCACCTCATTACCAGGGTTATTGTCAATCATGTATTAATTTATATTATAATAATTGTTATTGATTTTTTTTTAGATTCCTATCAAAGGAGTAAAAACTGTGATGACGGGGCTCGAAGTTATGCAGAGGATGATGGAGTTAAGTGCCAATGAAGCAGCTAAGAGGAAAGATCAGAAAGCGATCGACGAGTACAACAACTGCCTTGCAAGCCTTGGGACCACCATAGATAATATTAAAAAAAATTTAAAGCCGCCCCCAACGCAATAGCATATCTTATTTTTTTTTTTTTTTGTGACGATCGTTATAATCAAACTTCAACATATTTTTGTATAAACGTGGGAATTTATCCCATTGTTAGTTCGGTGCTTATATGGTGCCTTTTGGAATTTTAAGGTTCATAGAATGTTTTTATTATGTACAAATATATCAATGGTTTGTTTACAAACCATGGTATTAGATCTAATAGCTTATATGTTTAATACATATAAGCTTACTTAAGGTAATTATTTAATAATTGTTCTCTAAAACTGGACATTATGGGTCTGTGATAGCTGACGTAATCTTTTTTAAGGTTATTATAGTATTACAATATTCTTTAAATCTATTTACATGTTATAGGGCACAGATTTTTTTAAACTCCAGAGGTTTACAAGGTAATCTTTGCTTGAAATTCTCGTATTTAATTTTGAGTACTTGAATTAAGCAGTTGAATATTTTTAATAGGGTTGTCTCCCATAAATTTGTCTAATTATATACCTCCGAACCCATTTCTACCCGCAAAAATAAATTAAGTGAGGTTTCTCTTGTCACGCTTAGCGCCCTTTACTCGTTACCAGTGACTTCTTCGGTAGGGTTTAGGAATTCCCTGCAATTTCAAAATCCCGAGACACGAGACAGCCTACATTCAAAGTCCCGGGACTTCGAGACTTACAAAAAAATGTATTTTTTTTAAGAGGGGTAAGCCTTTTTTGAATAATTTTAATTGAGTTAATTTCTGGTGAAACGTATTAAAATAGGCAATTTTTTGTAAAAATCAACATTTACTAAACAAAAAATTAAATCTTAATAACTTTGATTTCAGTCTTAATAATTGCTTTGTTTATTTCTTTTAATCACACACAGATTCATTTTTAAGCAGTTAAATCTTATAGTATAAAACGAACGAATTTAAAAATCATACTAATTCTTAATAACTTATTTTAATGCTCATAATTATAGATTTGTTTCATTATTATATAATCTAAATATAAATAATAAAACAGACTTATAAATTTGTCTTTTAAATAACCAAATAACACATTAATTAGACTTCTTTGCTGATTTAACAAAATAGGCTTTTAAAAAAATGAGACCGTCAACAGCTTTGTCCGACAATCTGTTTCTGATTTTTGTAATAATGCCACGGAAGCATGAAAGGAGATGCAAGGAAAACACTCTCTCGTTTTTATCAGATATCAGTTTAATTGTGTTTAAGGTTTTATGCAGTAGTTTCAAACTTTCTGTACATTTTCCGGTTGCTTCAAACTCATTTTTTAATGTTGCTCTTTTTTTTTTCTAGAATCTCGGGTATATATACTTGGATATTTTTTATTGGTTACATAAACTAAAAAATAATTACATAACAATTTCGATAATCTTGTCTCCTCTTATGGCGGCGCGGCAAACGCATTTATTTTGTGTTGTGTACTCAGTAGTTACGTAGTATACCAAGTAATTATTCATTAAACTAACGGATGGCGCTAGGCTCCTTCAATTATTTGAAAATAAAAAATGACTACATAACAATTTCGACAATATTGTTTCGTCTCGAGTCTCGATCCGAAAGTCCCGGGACTTGAGACAACTAAAATTACGAATAGTCTCGGGGCTTCGAGTCCCGGGACCCAAACCCTAGTCTTGTGAGAGTTTCGATAGTAACTTTTGTGAATAGCAATTTGACATAATTGTGACTTATTGGAAATTGTGAAAAGGCTTATTTACGATTTTTAAAATTATTTTAATCCTTCTTCACTTAATTAATCCTTTAATCCATCCATCCATTTTCATTTAATCCTGCTTCAGAAAACCAGCTCGTTCGGTTTTAATATATATCTGAATCAATTATTGATATTTAAGATTTTTAACATGTTATGTTATGTGAAAATAGATGCAAAAAATATAATGCACATATTTTTTAAATTAGATTGTTTTCACAATAAATTTCGACTTTCAAATTTGTTGTATCATAAACAGACAAATACTGTGACGGAATTTTCATATTTGAAAGTGACGTCATATGCACATTTAACTTGAGCTGTACGACTTTTTCGGCCTAACACAGTTGTGAATATCTTGTCACTGTTGGTATCACATTAACTAATAGGCATAGTGCCTATTGGGTTATATTTTCTATTCTTTTTTATTTTACCCAAAGAGCCAAAATAAATTAAAATAATTTTTCGACATAGAGAAATGAAAATAAAAACATTAAAGTTCAAGGCGTCAATTGTGATAAAATAATTGGTAAGGTTAATTTTAGTAACAGAATTTTTGGTCTTCCGTTCACGGCGTTTTTTGGTTTACTTAATACTAATCGCCTTGGATAAATATTTTAACAGTGGTAGAGCCACGCGGCAGCTTTTGCTGTCGCACGGATGGGCCGGCTCGAACCGGGGTAGTACCACGACCTCACAGAAAACCAGCGTGAAGTAGAGGTTTACTTCTGCGTTTCGCTTGGTGAGTGCAGGTGGCCGGAGGCCCTTTTTACTGGAAATGAGGCATTCCATCTTAGTCCTCACGGGTGACAACGCATCTACATTTTGATTTGTAATAGAGGATAGATGTAGATGTCTATGGGCCGCAGCAACCACTTACCATCAGGTGGACTGTGTGCTCGTTTGTCACCCTTATCATATAAAAAAATATCAGCCCTTTTAAATCTTGTGTAGCAAACCCTTTTATAGAGGTTACAGACCATAATAAATTCAAAACTTAACGTTTAGGATTTTGTATTATTAAAATAACGATATACTATTTTAATTTGCTCAAACTAAATTACATTTTGGTTAATTTACTATAAATGGTGCTATCATATAAGCAATATAGCGTGCCTATGTTATGTTGTACATTCTATACTAAGGAATGAATAGGCTTTTTAGGATTTTTTAAGCTAAGTCAGAGCACTGCCATAAGCGATTGCATCACCACTTAACACAGTAGTTAAGTAGTGATGGCTTATAATAAATAATACTAAATAATTAGGTAGTCAACTTCTAATTAAATGTATGTTACAAAAGTTGGATCCTTCGACTAAGGAAAGACTACATATTACGGTACTTACCGAGAAGTCGGTTTGATAACTGAGAACTAAGCCATCCCAATTTAGTCTTAAATATGATGATCAACATCTTGAAGACATACTCTTTGAAGATTTTATTAAAAAATATTTCTAAAATTCAAAGGAGAGTTTTTATTATTTTACCATTTGTTAATTATTGCAAATAATTATCAAAACACCTTTTGCAATCAATTCAACCAGTGCTTAGTAAATATTATTATGAATAAAAAACTATACTTTTGAGACTTAGAAGGAAAACAGGTATAGTGTCTTTAAAAACCTCATTATTTTATTTAAAATTTCTAGCTCCACATATGAAATAAAATTTCAAAATGCTACACTGCTAAATTCTCCCACCCATAGTGGTTGTGTAGGAAATTATTGACATTATATAATAGGTGGACATAGTAATGTTGGAGCAGCGTGGCGGGTAATTCATTACCTTAAAAACCTTCTAAGAAATGAGAGGAAGCATTTGCCCAGTTGTGGGGCGTAACTGCAACTAAAGTTATAGAAAGTTCACTTTATAATTTAAAGTTGACTATTATGACAAGTGCTAAATTATAGCAAAATTATGCAATTTATTGTCTGATAATTTTTCTATAAATATACATTCATATGTTAAATATTGATTATAACGATGTTGCTTACTTTTTAATAGTTTTATAGGTTTATTTGATTTTAAGTATAAATTAAGTTAATTCTAAAACAATTCTCAAAAGTTTTCTTAAGGTTACTTTTTTAAGTTTTAAACTCTAGTAAGTCTGAGGTTCTATGCTCACTGATACTTTATAGTAAAAATACCAATGCCAACCGTTGATTGAAGTAAACAAAACATTTACATAGACTTTAGGAAGTGTGAAGCAGGGCTTGAAAAATCGTTGAAGTGGTCCTAATGTTACCAACTACATATTATGTTGTATGATTTAACATTAAACGGTCAACATTACAAGTAATGTTATCAAATACCAAAATTTAACGTTAATTGTAAACATTATGAAACGGTGGAAATTTTACTTTTTTTTAACGTGCGATACTGGTTCCTTGAAATTACAAGAAGTAGTCATATTATGTTAATTCAAAGAGGAGCACTGATTCTACGGTTTCCTAACCTCATTTTCTACGCTCTGCAGCGTGGAGTTCATCTGAGTGTTGCCACAAGTTACAACTGGCACATCATTGTTCTTTGATATATAAAATTTGCCAGTTGCGGCTTATTACTGCGTCAAAGATTTCTTAAATTTACACGAATACTACATATTGAATAAAACTGATTACAAGGATTTTATCGCGTTTAATTTGAATTATTATTGATTCCCGATGTTTCGGGTGCCTAACAGAACATATGGTCGTGATCAGTACCCTGATAAATTTCTTATAATTCGTTTTATTGAACATTAACAATAATTCAACCTTTGCAGTGGTATTTTTCACTATCAATTCTATCTGTTGGCGATAAACAGTGTCAGCGTGCATAGTACTAAAATCCCACCACTTTACGTTGAAATTACCAGTCACTATAATGATTAGTTATATATGACGTTTGGAATAGAAATAATGTTTAAATAAGTTGTAAGCTAAGTGCAACTACACTAATTTTGTAATAAATTTTATTTAATTTTTAATTATTTTGGTAATGACAACTTTGAAGAATAATATGCCATAGAATCTTCCATATTATGTAAACTTATTGAATGATTAGATTTTATACCATGTTGTGTTAAAAGTTTTTTTTTTAAATTTAATTAATGTTTAATAAAAATTAAAATAATTTCTTATACCTATTTTAAAATTTTTTTTATGATTTTACTGTGAACTCTTATTGAAAAAGCAAAATATAACATAATAGCATTGTAATGGTTTGTTAGAAGCCCCGAAAATTGGCAATGCGCTGGAACCTTGTCACATTAACGTCCAAGTGACGTCATCCGCAATTAAAAAGTACAGTGAACAAAAAAACTTATAAATTTATACTAATATTATTGATGTTAAAGTTTATATGCTGGTTTGCTTGGAATCTGGTCTTCTGTTGCGAGTCATCTTCTACTGCAAGCATAAAATGCTTGCAGTAGAAGATGACTCGAGCTAAGTTTTAATATAAGATACTAGTAATATAATGTTACTTAGCATTTAGTCTTCCTTTTATTAAAATATATATCATTATTTGCACATATAATATAGACTATACATTGCTAGTATCATTGGCCAAAATCCTTATAAGCTTTAAATTTCTGCCAATTTTTTAATCTAAAAATAAATAAGGAAAGATAATATGATAGGTTACCACCTAGCCACCGGGTTTAGTTTATATACTGATGTATGCTTAAGATTATAATTAATGTTAAACATTGTGAGAAAAATATTTCTCTTTGGCCAATCGGTACAGCTTACATTTGTTTCAATAAAGTGAAAAAACAAAGTTACTTATAAAATTATATTAAAAGAACAATTAAATACGTGGAGTTATTACCTTGATTTTCCTCCCATCTAATTAAAAGACTATTGCCCAAATATTCAAATGCTACTGGTTGCGGTGTCACAGTCAGTGATTTAAATTGATAGAGAGAGCACGAGACGCAACGACATCTTAGAATTGAGTAGTGTTTGAGAATTTGGCCATAATATGATACTTAAAATATAGTTCACAAAAATCGTATCGTAAAATAAGTTGCATTTTTTACCAGTGTATTTACATCCCATTTTAATTTATGGCAGGTTTGAATTTTTTGTTCATTTGTATTTATTATAATTATGTAATATAAAATAAGTTTCCAATTACTATAAACGATTAATGTTTACACATGCTAAAGGACATAGGTTATTTTTTTATTGTATTTCCAAATTGATATTACAAATGTAAACCAAATAACCAGTAAAAATGTTTCGAGTGCACGCTATAGTTATAATACGTTATGTGAATTCATTTATATAAACTTGTAAATCGAAATAACATTGGTGTTGCTAGATACTTCTTTATTTCTATTCCATTTTATTTTAACAATTGATTGATATTTGATTTTAACAAATTGTTTTATGCGAGCAAACATGTTACCTTCAAATTGACGCCGAAAGAGACTATAAAAATGTTTCTTTTTTCATTCATGACAGCCCATCAAAAGTCCACCGTTGAATATATGTCACAGGTGGATACTAGTGCCACATATTTAGTTTTCAACCACAGTTTTGTTATTAATGTGTTGTCAGGAAGATGCTTCTTCCTATCTACTGTTTTAGTTTTTCTGTGTCGCCTCTAACTATACCACTCACGGGATATTATAGGATAGTGGTTTTTATTAAGTCTGTACTGCATGGCAATAAACATTTTTTGTTTTTCCAAGGTTTATAGGTATTTTGAAACTCAATAGTTTTGCTATGGGCACTACTCTGGCCTTGGTAACCAGTTCTAATTTCGTTACATTCCTGTATGTGATTTATAGTTACATGATTTAAAACATTTGATAACTATATATATTACTACGTACCTGTCTGCTCGCAGTTTTCAGCCTCTTAACATAAATTTGTATGCTAATTCTTGTTTGAGTTGTACTAAAGCCAACGTTTGTCAATATTAGTAAAATGGCTCGTGCTAACAATAATATATAACATATAGATATGGCCAACAAAAATCTATATGTATATATTATTGTTAATATTAGCATAAGGCAAAGTGGCTTAAGTGCTTTACAGATTGTTGTTGGCATAAGCCCAATTGTCGTGCCACTTCTTAATTTTTTTTATTAAATTAATATTGTTTCGGTGATCATGTTTCTGTTTTTAATTTCATTTTATTTTTTGAAAATTCTGTTTGTTATTATATAAGTACTATTAAGTTTTAAATGGATAGAACGTGATAAGTCTTAAAGAAATAATACTTTTGTAATGATTCCGCCTTAGATAATTTGCCATAATATGACTAATAAATTTCCTAAAACTTGAACATCTTATTTTTTAAATTAATTTAGTTAATTGATTATGTTCCGCTGGGATCAGCCTTCCTGAATTAAGTGGTGGATCTGGTCTATGGCTCCACGGCCAACTCAGTTTCGGCCGCGGAGGGTAGGGAGGTTGGCGCCTCGCAAAACCGACACTCCTGAAGTTCGGTCTGGGGGACATTAGTTCATCTCTGCCTTTGTCAGACAATACCAACTAGTGGGAAGTAGTGGTGGATCGCAAACGTTTGGTATGTATAATTTTAAACTTATCCAATAAAGGGATATTTACTTCGATTGAGATTGCAACTACAAGAGGCTGTCCACAAGGTGGTGTTTTGTCACCCCTTCTTTGGACTCTGCGGTTGACCAATTATTCTACAAGATGGCACACCTTCGCATTGACACACTGGGTTATGCTGATGATCTTGTGATCATTGCGAGGGGTTTTTGCCAAAGTACTTTATCATCAATCATACAAAGAGCCCTAAACACCATAAAGAACTGGTGCAGGGATAATAGTTTATCGGTTAATGCTGATAAAACTGTTATAATACCCTTTACCAAAAAGAGACTTGGACAAATTAGTCACATCAAAACTTAATGGTAAAGAAGTACCATTCTCCACTGAAGTTAAGTACTTAACAATCGACCAAAAACTAACGTGGAATTCTCACCTTAGCAATGTACGTCATAAGGCAAAAATTGCTTTAGGTACGTGCAGTCGCATGGTCGGGAACAACTGGGGCTTGCGTCCCAGTATGATCCTATGGCTGTACAGCAGAATAGTGAGGCCGATCCTTACCTACGCCAACTAAAAGACGACTGCGGACAGACTAAATAGTTTACAAAGGACTGCCTGCTTAAAGGCAACTGAAGCGATGCGATCATTGCCTGGAGCGGCTTTTAATTCAATTCTTGGCCTAACGCCTCTTGATCTTTACTTAGACAAGGAGGCGAAGGCTAGCTTGTATAGGATTAACGCTCAGGGCAGTTTGAGCTTGCATTCCTATAGATTGAGATCCATGCTCAACTCAATCAAGGAAACAACGGTCTTATGAATAATCTCAGATATCATGCGTCCACTATATACTTTTGACAAAAACTATACAGTGGAACTACCCTCCAGAGAAGACTGGCTGAATGGACAGGTCATCTGTGAGGTCGGTAGCCTTATATGGTATACGGATGGTTCAAAAAAGGGCCTCAACGTAGGCTTTAGAATTTATGGGGAGACCCAAATTCAAATTTAGTATGAATTTTGGTAGATTCACTTCTATCTTCCAGGCGGAATTTTCCGCCATACTTTACTGTGCGGAAATCAATCTGCAAAAACTAGTCAAGCAGCACTGCTAGCGCTGAGATCAAACTTGGTGAACTCGACGCTAGTTGGAGACTGTGTGAACCGCCTAAACGCCTTGGGTTGGACAAGGTAGTTTTAAGATGAGGTTCCGGGTCACGCGGGTATTGTAGGCAATGAAACTGCTGACAAGCTCGCACGGGAGGGCTCAGAGTACACAATTTGGACCTGAGCCATTTTGTGGAATCTCAAAAAGCCTCGCCTGATTGACCCTGGAAACTCTAACCACAACAAATCATTTAAAATCTGGTCTGATATACCAGGCTTAAAACATTAAAAAACCTTAATCCGGGATTTCGATCGTAAATTCGCTTCGGAAGCCCTGGGATTAGGTAAAAATAAATTGCGCATACTGGTAAGAGCCCTGACTGAACACTGTTGTCTTAAAAAGCACATGTCCATCCTGGACCTAAGTAACTCAAGGATGTGCCAGTTTTGCTTCCTAGAGGAAACACCTTTACACTTCCTGACAAATTGCAGACCCTTAATGCGCATGCTTAAAGGCAGCACTCATCTGGGAAACTAACTACTTCGCCCAGAAGGAACATATGAAATAACTCACAGCTAAGCAACTACTATTCATTGAGGATGTAGGGCTTAGCAGTGAACTGTAGACATAGCAGCGGTTACAATAGATCTTTTAGGTTGCAGTGATACTGGTCTCTAGACCTGCATAGTTGCTCATACATAATAAAAAGAAAAAGGATATGTATAATGAAGTGAAAAAAAAAAGGAAATGAGGGCATGTTGTGGGTGCTTTCTTTAATGAAAAACTATCTTTATATAACATAATATATTCATAACAATTTTAAATGTCCAGTCACTTTATCAACAATATCCTTGGGAGCTGGTCCAACTCCCAGAACTGTGATTGAGTTTGGTGCAATTTGCGTTCTTCCTGCATCCCTGATGAGGGATGTGATCAGTCCCATCTTTTTGGCATTTTCAGCAATTCGTTTAATTTCATCTACAGAATCAGTTTTAAGTGCAATTTTTGCTTGACCCGTGCTCTGCCAAGTTTTAAGAGCTTCTGGATCTTTCCTTTGTGCTTTTTCAAATGCACCTACAGCTGCATGGCTACATTGCGCAGCAATTTTGCCTTTGCCCATGTTTAAGTCAGTTCTTACAACCAATACAAGCTTGTATTCTGAATCAGATACGAACTGAAAAAATAATATAATACAGTATAGAATAGAATAGTTTTTATTAAATATAGATAATAAATAATTTTTATTCAGAGTACTTTGTACACTGATTTGGAAAACAGTGTACTTGTATGCATTTTAACCTCCACCTAGTCAATATAATTGAGAATCATAACATAGAATATTAATGTGGTAGAGCCACTGCAAATATATTATGATTTCCACATAATATGTTTTGCAGTATATAGAAATTATTTTTAGCTTTTTTTTACGGATGTTTAACTTTTTTGCAACTTTAATTATTGAAGTTTCATTTACAACAAAAACAGACAACCTGGTATTCTGACATGACATTGTGGATGGTAAAATTATATGCAGTGTTCAAGTGTACATCTATGTATTTACCATTATTGGGCAGGCTTAGGTTATATGTCATAGCTTGAGATTCAGGGCAGTAATCAGACTGTTTTTACTGGAAAAGAGGCATTCTATGTTAGTCCTCACAGCTGACAATGCATCTGCATTTTGATTCGCAAATGAAGATATATGTAGATGTCTATGGGCCACAGCAACCACTTACCATCAGGTAGACTGTGTGCTCGCTTGTCACCTTTATACTATAAAAAAATCTCCAATCTTTCAATCCATTTCTGGTATAATTATGGGCTTTAATACTTTCGAATTCGAAAATTGAAATAAAAATCAGCAAATTGACAAGCCATGCTATATGTATATAAAACAAGTACTAAAGGGAAGGGAAAATAAGTATCCATTAAAATCATATCTACTGTATTAGTCACTATGTTTTAAATAATTCGTGGTATTCATATTCCTATTAAAATAAAAGAAGTATTGTGAAAATGAAGGTATTATAATTGGTTAAATTTACCTTTTTCACAGATGTAGCAGTATCCGAGACGAGGCCCAAATATTTTCTAAGAGCAAATAATGAAAGTCCAATGCAAATTCCACACCCCAAACCAGTAAGAAAAGAAAGATTCAACTCCATTCTACGTTTAGAATCAATGATTGTTTAACAAATAGAAACGTTCTTAAATAAAAGTTAAAAACACCGACGATCAATTTTACAATTTCAAACTTTTTAGGTTAGTTTTTTCATAGACAACACCACATAGAGCATAGACGTTGAGGGAGATGTCAATTTCAATTTGTATGTTTTTTTTTGGAGTTTATGGCCTGGTATCTAAGCCTTTAGGCCAAAATATTTTGTCTGTTTGTCAATCAATGCAGTGCTGCCATCGTAAAAATCTAAGTTGCCGTATGTCACAGTCTGGTTTGCCGTATTTTAAGGAATAAGTTACTAAATTGCCGTATTTATAATAATTCATTGAAGTTATACTTCTTTTGAGGCGTTTGGGAAAAATTATGACAGTGAATTTTTTACGATGCACACGCACACTGACACCGTGAAGTTAATACGAAGCGTGCTCACACCGATACTTAAAAGCGACAACTTCAATGGAACAGAGACTAACACAAAGGGTAACTGTCTCTCAAGTCTTTTTGTTTTGTTACGCTAGAGAAGTATAATTTCGATCATTCGAGACGTAACTTATGTAAACTTTACGCCGTCGATATCGAAAAAGTTTTTACCTAAATTTTTACAGTGAGATAGAAGAGTGAGAATAATTGTTGAAGAGTTAATTTTATTTCGTTTTGTGAGAACGATATATAATTTAGGCAGGACGTTTTTTTTTTCGTTAGGAGGATGTTTGCAGACGCCAAGGCATTAATAACTAATAATAATAGATTACTGCTATTATAACGCCAGTGCTGAAGCAAGAGCTTGTGCATATTTTAGCTCATTGTTACACCCCGATGACAGGTAATTTAAGGATATTTTTATATATTGCCACTAGTTGGCGCTAATTTTATTCCATACAAATCGTAGTTGATCGTAGTTAACATTCTCGGGATCGAACACGTAAAAAAAATCCCGCACTGGGCACACATAACTAACTGATATGGATTTTTTTTTTATTTACCACTAGTATTAATTACCACATACTCTATCTACAATTACTCTAACATATTTTTAAATATAATACATATCTTTGCGATTATGTATTACGATTATTAATTACCATAAAGTATCAAAGAGTATGTAATCATTACGTTTTAATAATTGCTAGGCAACAGAGTAACTTGTTTGATCTACGGCAGTTTTGAGAAGTTTATACTAAAACATTGTAAAATTTTTTTAAAGTAAGATAATGAAGAAAATTATGAAAGATTTAGCACCTATTGCAATCCCACATGGGCCTCCAGTGGAATCAACTGCTGAATATTTTAAATCTAAGATGGAGACTGCAGGCATGACAAAGTGAGCACCACCATGAATTTACATGAATGTGTAATAAATAAATTTATATCATAATATTAAATAAAAAAAATACAAATGACATTAATTTTCGTAGCAGCTTTTATTAACTTTAAGGCATTTTACATAGACATGTGTTTCAAATACGGTCGCATTTGCAGTTTTAGTTATAGCATAGTATAGTTGTAGCACGAATGGGTCGCGGGTCGGCTCGACCGGGGAAGGACCAGGCTCTCACAGAATACCAGCGTAAAATAGCAGTTATATGTTGCTGTGTTTCGTATGGTGAGTGTAGAGAACCGGAGACCCTTTTCTCTGGAAAAGAGGCATTCCATCTTAGTCCTGACGGCTGACAACGTATCCACAACCACAACAATCACTTACCATCAATGGCCCGTGTGCTCGTTTGTTACCATTAAACTATAAAAAAAAAATTTGACTCGAGGTTTCGGGGTCGATTTATTCGAACCTTACGCTGAGCATCCGTGTTTTAAGCCATAGTCGGTAACGCCAAGGACCATATTGTCACTATCATAAATATTGATCATTTTTATTTATTGCAGAAAATATCCAGTATGGGACGTCGCCCGACCGACGCCACAAGTACTAATGGAGCAGGCACGACGTGACCTAATGGCAGCGGACGAGAAGCTGGCTGCCAAGCGCGAGGAGGAGAAGGCCAATCGTGTGATCATGGACGCGAAGTGGAACGAACTACGCGAAAAGGAGTTGCTATTGAAGGAGTCCTTTATCAGTTTTAACAAGGTTTAATTTTAAAGCTAAACGAGATTTTTTCATTATATATATTAATAACAATAACAGATTGAGTTTCGGTCATACGGTCAGTCTCAACGAAGACCAGCACAGGATTGGATTATAGTGCATAAGTGTGTGCGCTTGCACAGGTGCATTATCTTTTCCCTCACTCTCACAGACTCATACTCTTTTAGGTTGGAAATCCGACACGAACGGTAAGAGCTTTACGCGTTTTCCGAGACATGGGGGTGACAGCTCCGAGGCAGCTCCGCCAATTTCCTGACTCCTAACTGCTAACGAGAATTTCTTGACAGAAATGCCCATAAATGATTTTGGTCCGACACGGGATACGAACCGGGACTATATAATCAAAATTACATTACAGTTAAAGTGAACAAAACGTATAGTGGCGGTGTAAGAATATCTACTACTGCATACCGTCCCGTGGGCCGTGGGTGTTAAGAGCGACAGGAAAACAAGCTAGTTGATGGGCAGCAGCGTCTTCTTAACAACTAAAAAATAAAGACTGCGTTGCTGACCTGCCTGCCAAGCGTGGCAACTATGGCCAATATCCCCCTATGGGGGAGTATCCCCTCTTTTCAGCATTGGAATATTGATAGGCTGTATCGGTAGAGTGACAAACAAATCCAATTGATGGAAAGTGTAAGCAACTAACTTTAAATAAAGCGGTCTACAGATGCGTTGTCACTTCTGGAGACTAAAGCCGCGTCTCCACCAAAGTTTTGGTTACCAACTTTTGTGTTGCCAACACGTGTTGGTAACAAATGTTTCTGTAATTACCTAGTGTTGGCAACAAAACTTGAAACAATGTCGGGAACCGTGTTTCCATTTTCGGCGGCAACATCAAAGGAATACGCTGCTTGCAAACATTTGTTCCCCCGGTGGAGACGCTTGGATCGTCTCTCTCTAGAGAACAATGCTACGAGGAGCTGCTGCTAGAGCTATTCTGCATTTACTCGTTTACTATGGTTATAGTACAAATGAGTCGACTCGACCACGCTCTCACAGAATACCAGCGTAAAATAGCAGCTTATTGCTGCTGTATTTCTTATGGTGAGTGTAGGGAACCGGAGACCCTTTTTACTGGAAATCAGGTTTTCCATCTTACTCCTCAGGGCTGACAACGCAACTATATTTTGGTCCTTAAAAGAGGATAAAAGTATATGTCTATGCGCCGCAGTGTCCACTTACCATCAGGTGAACTGTGTGCTCGTTTGTCACTATTATTGCTTAAAAAACACTAACAGTATCCACCACTACCAATCTTTCTTAAACAGTTTATTAGAGAAAACCAAGAGAAACGTGACCGCGCTGAACGCAAGATGGAAGCGGACATGGAAGTGCTAACGCGCAAGACGCGGGAGACGGAAGCGATGCGCAAGCGCGTGGCCGAAATGGAGGAGGTGAAGCGCTTGATGGAGCAGCAAGTTCGTGATTACACTATTTACGAGGTGAGCTTGGTGGTCTTTATCGGTATTTCAAAATGATGATGATTTTCTCCTAGCCGGTTTCAAACACGGTACTTTCAAATACGGTTAAAAGCGATCAACTGCATTGGAGACAAATGTACGTGCCCGAAGTAACGCAACAAGATCAGAATATGTTTAGGTTACCTACCGTATGGATTGCCAACTTTACTGTGTAGTATGGTATCCTAGTACAGGCAAAGAATATATACTTACACTATGCGAAAAGAAACGACACTTAAGCATGTGTGCACGTAAAATCACTTGCGGCTATGTGTGGGTGTCTGGATGTGTGCGGGGGCCTTGAGAGGCGCGCGGGGCGTGGAACGGGCCGTCGCCGACTGCCCTGGCTGAGGGCTGCGCTTTATTCAAAAATAATGCGTATTCATTTGTATATAATTATGCTACCTTTATTTAGTTACAATATTTATTTATATGTATGGCACATTTATGTTATATATAATAGTTTTAACTTGTATATTTGTAATTTTATATATTTATATTTATAAAAATATATATTTATATTTGTTTTATTAAGAATAAAAAATAAATGTATAATAAAAATTACAATTCAAATCAAAATGAGAATAAATATTAATATATAGGTATGTATTTATCTTATCTATGATTTGTGAGACAGAAGGTTCCAGAATTAATGTGATATGGAAGTAAAGCGTAACAAATTCTACCATTCACACATATTGTCTCGTAGGGATCATAAGAGGCGACTTAGTGAAATACCAGAAAAAACTTATGACGACGAGCAGCATCGAAGGTGCGAGACGTCTAATACTATGATTAGATACTAATAAGTATAGTGATTATGACAATTACTCTATACTATGGGAGAGGTGGATTGTTAGGGTGTTTTATTATAGAATAAGGATGACAAACGAGCACACAGTCCACCTTACGGTAGGGTGGACGCTGTAGCCTATAGACATCTATCCTCAATTAGAAGCAAAATGTATATGCATTGTCACCCTCGAGGACTAATATAGCATGGTAATGTGTTTGGTTTTACCTTTTTTTTTACTTCTAACGAGACGTTTTTGTACGCGGTAGAGCCATGCTTCAGCTATATTACTGGTATAGTTGTAGCACTAATGGGTCGGCTCGACCGGGGAAGGACCACGCTGTTACAGAATACCAACGTGAAATAGCAGCTTAACACTGCTGTGTTTCGTATGGTGACTGTAGGGAACCGGGACCCTTTTTACTGGAAACGAGGCATTCCATCTTAGTCCTCACGGGTGGCAACGCATCTGCATTTTGATTCGTAATCGAAGAAAGATGTAGATGTCTGGATGGGCCACAGCAACCATTTACCATCAGGTGGACTGTGTGCTCGTTTGTCACCCTTATCCTAGTAGGTAATAAAAAAAGTTTCATTTTAGTTCTCATGAGTGAGAACAAATCTGTATT